TTTACATTCAAATAGCACAAAGCTATGTACTATGATTCCTAATAAAATGCACTACTTATATTTGGTGGAATGAACTTTTAAGAAAATCACATATATAAATAAGCTAAGACTGGTGAGAGTTCAAGCACTCTGCAACAAATTTAAGTCCCCTGTACTACATTAATATTTCCAAAATAGTTGCAAGTTGTGTAACCTTGGAAAATTAATTGAATGCTTTGTATCTCTGGTTTCTGCCCTGTACAGTGAGGTTATAATGGCAACTGCCTCTTAGATATTCTGAAAACTAAATAGTTTAATACGTGCAAAGTTCTTAAACAGTAACTGAAATAAAGAGTAAAGAGGCAAATTTGGTGGCTACTTATCTATTGTAATAATAATAATTGCTAACCATTTTTACCATTATTATACACTTTGCTCTTTGTTTACTTGGACATTTCTCTTTTTGTTGCATACAAAGAATAATTTATTATCTAAACCTCCATGTGCAAGACCTAATTTCCTTCAGATTCTTATTTTGCACATCTGTCTGAAACTACATCCTCTTGTGAATATACTATTTGTCTGTAGCTGTGAAATGAGGAAAGATTTTTCAAAATAAGCATGTACTCCTATTGGTTTTTGTTCATTTGTTTATTTTTTGTTTGCTTTCCTCTCTGCCACTACTTTCCCCTGCTTAATTTATGGGAACTTTATATTCTACAATATGAAATGTCACGTCCAGCAGCCTATACTACACACAACACATTTTTCTTGCCTACCTAAGTTTTTCTCTCTCTTGAGAATCACTGCCGCTGCATGCACATGAAAAATTGGTGAGTAACTGAAAAGTCAATACTTTGTCTGGAAGAAAAGAATCGGCAAACAGTCAAAATAGGTTTGGATGCTTCGTTTTCATGTCATCAATGACTGATTCTTTTACTTAGTGGATAACTGAGAAAAATGTAAAGCAGGCAATACAATTTCCCGGGCAATGTCTATAATGAAAATTAAAAAGACAGGCAGGAGAAAAAGAGGAAGAGGGAGAGATAGGTAAATGAGAGATAGAGAGAAGAAAAAACAAAAGAAAGAGAGACAGAATAAGAAAAAGACAGAGGTTAAAAGAAAACAACTTACTGTGCATTGAAGAGATGTGTTTGATCCATACTTCACAATAAAATGCCTAACCTGTATGTGAGTGTGTGACTATTAAGTTGTAAATGCCATGAATTCATGTTTAAGTAAAAATATAGAAAAATATTTTTAAAACTATGGCTTCTTGCATTCTGTTGCATATATTTATTTTCTCTATATTTTTTGCATCATAACTCAGTCTAAGACTTATGAAGCATAAGTCAAAATTTTTTATAAATAAAATCAATTTTGCTTTCTCACAAAAAAAGCTGCATGTTTTTGTAGACTGAAAAATACCTAAGGAAAGCAAGGCTTTCACTGAAATTTTATCTTTCTTTCAGTCTATATTATAGTTATGATTTATGTAACTTGTTGAAGTAGAATTGTTTTAAACATCGACTGTATATTGTTAGAAATAGTCTAACATGGAAAAATCCCTCATTTGTATATCATACAATAATAATTACACAAATATAATGCCTGTATACTGTAAAATGGCTAATAACAAGCAAACATTTATTTCAAAATTTTTAAAGTAAATTAAGGGTTTAAACAGATGTATTGCTGTGTGAGTAAAGACGATTTGAATAAAATAAAGTAAAATAGGTACTACATTCAAACTCTAGTTTTTCATAATTCTTACAAAGTGATGTGTGTGAGATAAATATTCTATAGAGAAACTCTCAATAAGTCTAATATGTATCAAATAAAGAATGATTAAATTCAAAAAGGTAGAAGTATGATGAGTTGAAGTTGGTGAGCTCACCAAAAGATGGAAAATACAGCCATACCACCATGGACTACACCCAGTGACCCTGTGAGCCAAACTAAACCTTTTCTCCTTTAAGTAGCAGTTGTCAGATATTTTGTCCCAGTGACAGAAAACTGACTAATACAATACCTTCTTTAATATTTTGGGTTTTTACAAAGTACAGTCTCAAAATCCAGACCAAATACTACATATAATGTATTTAGTAGATATTTTATAAATAGCATTCTGTACTTGTGCTTGTACATCATGCCTTTTTCCAGAAATGATTTGTTTCTTTGTATTGATCAATAACTAGTTTCAATAAAAAAATACAATGTATTTTTTCCATACTGGGAGTTGAACCCCAGCCCTACACACTGAGCTACAATATCTGCCATTTTCTATTATTTTTTCGAGTTAGGATTTCCCTTAGACACTAAATTGAACAGTCTGGGCCCATACTTTGATCCTCATGCCTGGCCTCTAACAGTGCTAGGATTTCAGGCATACACCACTATGCTCAGCATAAAATATTTAAATATCTTATAAAATATGAAAAATAAATTACATCAATGTAAAACAGATTCAGGAGGATAGCTACACACCTGAAATTATCTGTAATTTCTAAAGGTGGATCATTTTAAACACATTATTTGTATGTAACATTCTTTTAGCAAAATAATAATGGAAAAATATTCATCCAAATAAGTAATGATATGATTAATGTTCTTTGATACAGATTTGATTGTTTAGCATAGCTTTATGTTTGGAAAAAATGTAAACATAGTACAGAGATTTTACATATACCCCACACATAGTTTCCCCTATTATTAATATCATAAAAGAATATAATGGATATATTACATTTAATGAATAAATACTGATAATCATTATCAACTCTAAGTTGTTTTTCTAACCTTCTTAGTTATTGCTTAATACCCTTTTCTATTCTAGGATTCCTTCTCTGATTCTAAATTATGTTCAGCTATCATGTCTGCTTAGGTTTCTTATGGTTGTAACAAGAACACCTCAGGCTTTCATTTGATGGTCTTAACTTTGATAATTACTTGCCAAAATTTAATAGAATGTCCTTGTACTAGAATCTGTCTCATTTTTTTCTCATGATTAGACAAGAAATACTTTGGGGTAAGAAGACCACAGTGGTTAGATTTTTTTTTTCATTGGTTCTGTTTCTGTTTCTTCCTTTTCTCATATTTATTCCTTTCCCTTCTTAATTGATTGGATTTTTGTCTTCAAGCAGATTTAAGAAATAGTCATTGCATTGTCTTTGCTCCATTCCTTCATAGTTATTAATACTATAACACTGTCAGTGCAGAATCAAATGACACTGTCAATTATATTTTATACTTGGAAAATATCTTAGTTCACTATAATATTCTTAGATTATACTTTCTACTCTTTAAGTTGTCACGGTGGGGTACTGGGCCCTTTTCAAATAGCAATAATCATGCCTCAGAGAAATTTCAATGGCTTCAATACTGCCATGGTGGAAAACTACATTTTCTACTAATCAGGAATTTTTCATTCATGGTAGGCATTTTAATGATTTTAGGGAGAAATTTTTTTTCATTTAAAAATTTTAAATTAGACTGATTTTAACTGGTACACAGAAATAAAAATTATACATATTTATAGAGTACTCTGATACTTTAATACAGTATATGCACTGTACCCCTTCAGTTTAAATCACATTAAATACATCCATGGAGAGAAGTTTAAGGCTATGCCAACTGGCCACCTGTGATGCAAGTTTACCTTTTTTTAATCTCTCCCAGTGATTAATGACCAAAATTACTCTCCTCAAACTTCAATTATCATAATTCCTTGCTATGATATAGCATAAGTAGCCTATATTATTGAATAACATTTCCTTACTCACTGTTTCTTGATCTTTGGAATTTCTTTTCATATTTTCCCAAAGGTTATTTAAATCTTTGACCTGGTTGTTTCAGTATACAAACTGGCACTGTTTCCGTATATAAACTAGCACTGTTAGAGGCCAGGCATGAGAATCAAAGTTTGGGCGCAGACTGTTCATTTCATCTCTCCTCTTTACATCCTATCCTATAGAAAGTTTTGTTAAATCAAATATATTATTACAACACTTTAAATCTTCAAGTCATTTTTTAGAAATTCACTTCTGTGTCATCTTGCAAAACTACACTGTACATATGTTCCTCGCTGGGATTTGCAAAGGTAGTCTGCAGACCTGACTTTCCATTTCTTTTCGCTTTACTTCCTGGGCAGTTTTGCCTTTTTGTTTTCTCAACATGTATTGATTATATCCTCTCCATATCTTGACTGTTTATTTTCCCTGTTTAATCATTGTTTAATTACTGATTCTTTTCTCTGTTAGTCACATTTCGTACCACTGAGAGACTGACAGGCAAAGGAGATAGCTTTAAAGGGTATGCATTCTTTGATAGAACACCTCATCTCTGCCGTGACTTCTATAAGAATGTTAAAAGCTCATCCTGTGACTTCAGGGCCTTGTAAGCTCTCAATCAATGAATATTTAATCAAAGATAATATCTTAAGCAAGAAATTCTGTAATGTGATTGAATTGTTACATTTATGCTGCAAATTTTCCCTGTTTCAACATGTAATTTGAAGTTCATACTTTAAATAAAGATATTTAGAAAACAAAGTTGCTTAGAATTGACATATTGTTGAGTTCACTCATATTTTATTAACCCAAGCAAGCTGCACAGCTAGGCCTGATATTGGAAAACAAATGCACAAGCCAGCCAGGGGAAAGCATTGCAAATGCCAATAACAAGTGGTATATTCATCTCACAGAATGGAGGGAAGAAATACTCAGGAACAACAATGCAGGACCAGGGATTTAGCTCAGTGGTTCCGCTGCCTGCCTTGAAAGCACAAAGACCCATGTTTGATCTCCAGTACCCACCAAAAAAGAATGCAATGCACCTTAAACTTCTCCATGTTTTCATGTGAGTAGCACTTTCTACAACTCATCAATCCTACTAAGAGTAAGACAAAGATAAATCCTGTTTTCTCCTTCATATTTGAGTCTAATATATATCAAGACTTCTGCTGTCTGTGTGACCATTTTACGACCTCTTGTGTTTTAGACTTCAGTAATCTTGACTGCAAATACACTTGGGTGTGTTTCCAGTTTCTAAGATTCTCTTACTTAAAAGCCTCTAGTGTAATGGTCATACATTTAAATAGTGAATGAGAATAGTAGTTTCATGCAATCAAATTCTGCTATTTTTACATTATCTGTTCAAGCAGTAATTTTGACAAGGATCTTTAAATCAATAATAAGCACTCTGATATTGTTTCATACAAATATCTTTAAATATCACATACAAGTTAGTGTTATGCAATGCATATCTTCACATATTTAAAATACAATGTTCTGGGTGGTTAACATAGTCCTATAATTCTGTTAATGCTTTATTTACTACCTATGAGTATTACTATTATCAGAAGACTAGGCATTTAATTCATTTAAGAATTTAATTTATACTATAATTTCTACTCTTCATTCATCTTGTTAATTTACCAGTATTTTAAATTAAACTTTTCAGGTAGTAAATTTTCTATGAAAATCACTAAATTTTTTTAAAAAACTATAATTATCAAAATGTACACTTCAATTTATTGCACATTTAATAAAATGGTGTTCTTCAACTATCTGCCCTGTTCTATGAGGATCATCTTAGTTAAATTCTCATCAGTCAGGCACAATACCTGACATCAACAACTTAAAGACCAAACAATTTATTTTACCTCACAGTTTATAGCAGTTTCTGTCCACGGTTGGTTGGCTTCAAGGCAGGCTGGCATGGCAGAGGGATACTGCAGAGGAGAAATAACTCAAGCCTAGTACCACATCCTTAACACACACTTACACACCCTAGATTCAGCCATCTCTGAAATACCTTACTTGTCACTGCATGTGGTTTTGGGGGAACATCTAAGTACAAGA